ACTACAGAGACGCTACAGACACTCACAGTCTATCACAGCAGTTACTGACAATGGATCCACAAACAACCTTCATATACAGCATGACCTTCACCAGATCAGACCTGATCAACGACACAGAGGTCCCAGCAAACAATCCCGGTCATAATCCAGGAAATAAGCCAAAGAGAAGTGTTCGTTTTGCTGACGAAGTTGAGGCTTCAAGCTCTACCCCAGACGTCCGCCATCTGGAGGCCCACCTGGATCACGCTCAGAAGAGCAACCACTGTTTACAGAGTGAGCTGACAAGCGTGGCGGAGCAAAGGAACAGCCTGGTGACCGAAAGGAAGAAGATCGGCTTCAAGATCCACAATTTAAAGTGGCAAATCAACAGACTCGAGGGTCTGCTGGAGCTCCGGGAGAGGGAGTTCGCAGCTGATGTCAAAAACAGCTGCGAGACCCTCAAATCTTATAAGCAGCAGATCTTTCAACTGAATGTTGATCTTAAATCCCGCTCGGAGCAGGTCCTCAGCCTGCAACGGGAGAAGGAGGAGGCCGCTGCCAGACAGAAGCAGGACCACCAGAAACTGGAGCAGGACCACCAGAAACTGGAGAAGCTACTAAAGGACCAGTTGTACCAGGTGGAGCAGCAGCTCCAACTGAAGGACAACCATGTCCTTAACCTTACCAAGGAGAACGAGGGTCTGTCTCAGAGACTGACTGAGGCCCTGAACCAGCTGCTCTACAAAGATGAAAAACTTTTGCAGAGCGAGAACTCCTGGCAGACCAGGTTCAAAGCTCTGCAGGAGAACTTGAGTGAGAAAGAGGACACCTTACAACAGGTGCAACAGGAGAATAAGAACCTCCAGGAGCTCGGCATCCACACCAGGAGAGGTTTGGTCTCCCACAACAAGTGGGTGAAAAGTGGCCAGAAGACCCTGGAGAGGAAGACACACAGACTGGAGAAGAAAAGAAAAATGAAGGACCTGAAGGAGAAGGAGAGTCTGTCCGCGAGGCTCTGTGAGACCGAGAAGGAGCTCACGAGGACCAGAGCTGACTTTATGGAAACCAACAAAGCATGGCAGCGAGAGTTCGTAGCTCTGCAGGACAGGCAGCTCGAGGACCTGAACCAGCAGAACCAGAGCTGGAACGAGAGACTCAAGCAGCTCGAGGACCAGAACAAGATCCTGACACAGCAGGTTCACAGCTGTGAGGACCAGAACAAGATCCTGACACACAAGGTTCACAGCTGTGAGGACCAGAACAAGATCCTGGACACAGCAGGTTCACAGCTGTGAGGACCAGAACAAGATCCTGACCGAGAAAGTTCAGAGCCGGCAGGAAGAAGTCCAACAGCAGGAGGAGGAGAATAAAGTCCTCGTGGATAAACACCTGCAGAAGAAGAGCAGGAGACGCTTCAACATCTTCGGCAAGACTGGACGGAGAGATGGAGAGAAAAACAAGAAGGATAAAGCCACAAAAAAGAAGGAGAAGAAGGAGAAAAAAGAAAAAGTAAAGAAAGCCAAGGAGGAAACTCTAATGAAAGAAAAGGAAAAGAAAAGACAAGAAAAAGAGGAGAAGAAAAAAGAAAGGTGGAGAAGAAAAGAAAAGAAGAAGGAACCAGCAGAAGAAGAAGGGTTTCATTGCGCTGGCTGGCTAAAGAAAGCAACAGTGGCAGTGAGTGAGGGTGGAGGGAGGCTGGAAAAAACAGTAGCTCCCTTCCCTTTCTCCCCCCTTTACCTCGCCAAACCCCCCTCCTTCCTCCTAACTCCCCTTCTCCTTAAAACCCTCCTTACCCCCTCCTCCTTACCCCCTTTCCATCTTTACGCCCTCTTCTACCCCTCCTTCCCCCTTTCTCCCCCATCCTTCCCTTTTTTCCTTTGTGTCCTTGTGTCTGCATGGGGTTTTTCTCCTGGGTCTCAGGTTTCCTCCCACACAAAAACAACAAAAAAATACAGCAGACAACAAAACATAAGGACAAACAATTTGGCCACAACAACAGAACAACAACAATTAAAGCAAACAAAAACCATCAAAACACAAAGAATTTGGCAATAAAAAACAAAATAAAAATTTTAACCTATTTCTGCCTGTGAGTCTGAATAAACGACCCCCAGTATAAATACGACTGTAAGACATTCATGGGTGGGGCTGTAAAGTTGCTGCGTCTGTCAGCCGATATTGATTTTTTAAATCTATAAACCTCTAATATTTCCTCATGTAAAACAGTGTATTAAACTCTATAGCTATGTTCTATATTGGGAGTTGATTCAATCATGTAATCTATAATTCCAATAATTCAGTGTATAAAACTCTAGAGCTATTTATCTTATTATGGAGGTTTGATTCAATCATAATGTTATAATCAATAAACAGTGTATAAACTCTAGAGCTTATGTTCTATATGTAGTTGATTCAAATCAATATATGTATAATCATTTAAAACAGTGGGTCAATTCAATAATCTTATTAAACAATAAACAATGTTATAAACTCTAGAAGCTATGTTTTATATGTAGTTGATTCAATCAATAAAAAAAAAAGTCTTACAATCAATAAATAGTGGGTCTGTATCTAACATAAGCTTAAGAATTTCAGGTTTGTTGTCCACATAAAAATCGTTAAACATGTTGACTGTTGAAGCTTTTACATTTTAATAAAGTTGGTTGCTAACCAGCCAGGCAATAACCATGGGCAACTGCTACACATGGAGATGCAACAGCAGTAAGCTCTTGCTCTTTTCTAAAACATCACTGATGTTCTGATTGGGTCTGATTTTTAAGGGCGAGCCAAAATTGTTCAAACCGACTTGGGATTTCAGCAGGTTCCGACTGCTGCGACCGGAAAGGCTAAGCTCCTTCAAACCTGTTCAACCTGTTTTCAGCTTTATTTGCTGAATCACGTATCAACTCAGACATAAACGGGCCTGCAGTCATCAAAGAATGAAAGCGTTGGGTTTGGATTATAGATTTATATATTGAGAACAATCAACCAATCGACCGGGACGGGACCAAGCCCGCCAACAGCGGGTGCTTCCCGCCCCAAGTAGGAGAGGAAGAGAGCCGGGATAGGGATAGCTTGGACTTCAGCTGCTCCTGGTTAATGTCCGGTTTTACACGAAATTGGGACTCAGGATGTCAAACAACAAGAAATCTGAGACTCCCACCATCTTCTTACAGAGACCGGCTCCATCAACAACCGCAGATCCTCAACAGGCGGACTGTGTTCCTCCGACAGAGTGAGTTCTCGTTGCTGTGTTCACATTCAGCCAGATTCAGACCACAAGAATACAAAGATAAAATTTCAACAGGATTGCAAAATGTATTTCCTGTATATATGAATATAAATAACTAATATATTGATTTGATTTGATCTTATTTGTATGTTATTCTATGAATTTTAATGATCTTTTTCAATATTGTTCTTGGTGTAAACTATTCTGACTCAAACTGTTACAAAACAACTTGTAGGTTTTTTTCTTGCTTTTTTATTTAAATGGGCAGTTCAGTTTAAGTGAAGTCATGCGACAGTGATTTCGTTTGTTTATAGACGAAATTTAGTTTTTTACTTCTAGTGATCCACCTTCAAAAACCATGGAAAGTGTAATTTGTGAAGATTATTTTCTCTTGTTTTGGAGTTTATTTTCCATAATAATCCAAACTCCAATGGAAAAATGCCATTGGCTGTTTGGTCCAAAGGAACCAGGATGATATTAACTTCAGGTTGGCACTACAAAAATACATCATCACTGCAACGTCATTTAACTATGTCTTACTATAGGAAAGTGAGAGACAACGGTAGAAATTACTATATGTACGTTAAAGTAATGATTGAAACACTGATGTCCCAATTTGATCAATCGATACATAATAAAGTTTTTAAGTTACAGGAGCTGGTTAGACAATAATAATATATCGGTTATTTATATATGTGGAAAACAGCCATCAATACAATAATCAATTAAAAGCTGCAAGCAGCCAATGAACGGGGCCCTCTCACTCCACACAACTCGGGGTGCGCTGTGGCCGAATATCTGTCATGTAAGACGTGTTCAGGGCGGGATTTTATCAGACGGAAGTTTCGTTGAGATTGACTATGTACACAGAATCAATGACAACTTTTCTTTCTTGGCGAATCATCGAAATTGGACGCCACACCAAGGCGTTCGAACGGAATGTCGTAAATTGCACCAAGTTTTAATCATGAATGCCTTAAGATTGCGCTGATTTAAATTTGAAGGTTGATCTGATAAATTTCCCTAGGAGGAATTTGTTCAAATATAACGTGTGCAAATCGCAAGAAAACTGACCATGAAATTCAAAATGGGCGACTTCCTGTGGGGGCTTTAGGATTATCGCTGGCTTCAAGGTATTTCGTTGTTACGCCTGACATGATACATTGACCTGCCAATTTTCGAATGGTGGTTCAGGGGACGCTATTGCAGCCATGTTTTGACACACCCACCTGGCAAACGTGACCATATGAAAATGTAAAATGCCTGCCGCAGTGTGGGAGCGTGTGTGCCAGTTCAGTGAGGCGTGGCGAGGCCTGTTTGAGGCCCCGCAAAATGTGAATTCAAATGGTTGAAACAACAAGGTGAGTGCTTTTGCCATTGTCGCTACGGCAACACGCGTTCATATAAATTCAAAGATTCATAAGGATGTCATTGTCAACAGTCTAAGGGTCTTCTGACTAAATTTCAACAACTAAGTTTGTATGAAATTAGGTAGATATTGATAGTGCCATACTAGAAGGAATAGTATTAGTGTTTGATCCTCAAGTATTCAGATGATAAGATCATACTGTCAAAAATGTTCTTGAAAAACTATTCATTGTTCAATTTTCCATTATATAGTTGTCAGAGAGCTAGGAATTAAATCTGTGTATGTAATAGTATCAACTTTACAACCTAAATATGATTGAACAAAAAAAAGACAGGAGAGAAACTTACCTTTAACACTGGACTCTTTCACTTGCTATTCTTTTCCTTTCCCAATCATATGGAAAAAAAGACAACACATGCGTAAGAGGTTGGATTTTATTTAGTCCATTTTTAAAATTTACTTTTTCTGTCGAGATTCATTAAAAAAGATAAAGCATCATCAGCTTTGCAGACCATATCACAAAGAGACTGCAGTAAGGAAAGAGTGAAGTAGAATGAAGATGACTTAGTAGGCACATTTTTCAAATGATACATGTTAATCTAATTGATGGCAAAATATGTACAGCAATGATTTGTTGACACATGCTTGGGACTTCTGAGTGAGAGTTCACAGGTTAGTAAAGCACAGATCTATGCAGACATCAAGACTTTTTCACTGTTTATAAAAGATGCATTGCGTCGACTACAGGAGGCAGTCAATTTCCCCAAAACTGTATGCCAGTTCAATTTGTAATAAATTAAACCTAAGAGGAGAGAGAAATGAGGAATTTCAATGAACTTGTGAAACTAATTGACCGGCGCTTGTCAAACTAAGCATTTTAACAGACTTTTAGCAAATGTTCCTCCATATGAATCAAGAATACTGAGCTAAAAGTGGACACGACATCCACCTGATGAAATAACTTGAGAAATAAATTAGAAAATGGATAGTTGTATTAGTATGCATTTATAAAGAGTACCTGATTTTCTCTCTCTCTAGCCTAAGTTTGATACCTTTGCATAACTTATAGAAAACCTGTCATGTTCTTTTAAAAACTCACAGTAATTCATTCATTAATCACAAGTCCTGATACCACCGAAGACAGGCACAGGATTCTACCCTGCAGAATCCATATACCTTCGAGTCAAACACGCTGGATATTCCATACAAATAAAGGACACTTTTCCTGTTTATATACATAACACTTTTGTACAGTCTTTGCACTTCCATTATAACAGATTGAAGCATCTCCACGTACAAAGTCAATGGAAATCAAATCATGTTCAGTGGATTAAACCTTGAGTGAATCCAAAGCTTAAATTGAGCACTTGGTTAGATGTAAAAGGAACAAGTTCAACTGCCTTTGCATCGAAAGAAAAAAAAAGTAATAAAACTCTGAAATTCTGTCGTACTAGGTTATCTTAGGGATCAGGTTTGGAGTTTGCCTCAGACGCAGATCGGGGTCAGTTTCAGCCATCCACCGTAACTTAGTGAAAAAAAACTGTTAAACTGACCTGTGATCAGTGCCAATTGAAAAACATCACCAGACTCAAACAGGAGAAACTGAAAAAATCAACACTGTTAACCAGCTATCCTAACTAGTAGAGTGTTGCAATGACGAAATATTGTGATCATGTTATCAGGTGATTTCACTTGCACTCCAATACGACATCCAACAGCATTATAATTTAAGGAAATGTTAAAGTCTGGATCCGCTCACCGGCCACTGAGAGGTCAACAACAGAACAAAAAACTCTAATCCAACATAGGAGGCAGTGAATGTTCAAAGTTTGTGAGTCTGCTTAAGTCAAACCCCCGAAGACAAGTCCAGTCATTCCACCTGCTTTCATACTGCATACAGCTTATTCCTGGCTCACTCCCCTCCCTACAACTGTACACACAGTGCAGCAGTGTAAACTAAAGACAGTTGAGTGGCTATGAAGCTCCACTGGCCCCTACGCACTAAGGATCTTGCTGAGGTGGAACATGACAGCTGGACCGTCCCAAAGCACAAACCAGAGCTTACACTAATGTAAAAGGCCCAGTGGTTTGGAGGGTGGGCTGGCGTTTGGGACGACATGGTCACTTGGGTCCTTTGGAAGGGGTGTCTGTCTCTGTGGATTGGCGGCCATCGTTCCAGGCCTCCCGGGTGCTCTTAAGGGCCTGTGTCCGTTGCTGGTCCACAACCACGTAGTCAACGCGCTCATCTGATGCTGCCACGCCAGTTCCGTTGCTTTTTATCTGAAGAACGAAAACACACAAAAGCGTCGGTCTTAAAATTCCTTTAAACTGACTTCCTGTTGTTGTGAACACGCGGCTCCGGATGTGGGGGATCGATAAATTCCTACCTTCCTAGGTGGGGTAGATTTGCCGGAGTCAAGATCCAAATCCAGGTACTCCACCTGTTTGTCTCCTTTTGGCTTCACCATAGGGCTGCTCCCACCATCCGCAGTCATTGGCGCAACAAGCTTCATGTTCTACATAAGGAAAGGATGCTTTTATTGATAGAAGAGGCAGTGTCACAGTGAAACAAAGCTCATATTTTGATTCAATTTAGCGTTGTCACAATAACCAACATTTGTTTGCTAAGAGATCTGGCTGATTTTTGATTTACCAAAAAGTTGGTACTTTCACAAAGCATATTCTGTGAGCCCAAACTGCATTCAACACACGCCAACAGAGGGAGCACATACAGGTACAGATGGTTTGAGGATTGGGAAATTTAAAGGATGAAAAAATTAAAATATATAAATAACATAAAAAAAGACTGCAATGGACAATCAATGCAAAATATATGTGCACAGTAGTCCCAGTCCAGAAAAACAGGTTGTTAAAACAGTGACAACAAGCGGGTGACACTGTTGTTTAATCAGTGAACATCAATCTAACTGGTGCCTGTCAGAAAGTGGAACCAGACGGGCACAGTTTGTTCACTGAAGCATGGTTCGACCATTTCGCTGATAAAGCTAACAACTGGCACCAAATCAACATGCCAAAAATCCAGTTGCTTCGAAGCTGTCTAATAAAAGACAAATAACTTTGCAAAGCAACTCTGATTGTAACATATCTTCATTTGAATTCTGACAAGGTTTTTGGCACCTGTTCAGATTGCAGAGTTTCTGTTACGTTTTTGTTTTGTTTATGGTCATTCCCACATTTTTCTGTCAAATAAAGCAGTGGTTCATTGACATTACTTTGTGTTTTCCTTTCTTTTTGCTTCTTGACATCAAATTTAAGATACGGAAAGAGTGTAAATATTAGAAGTCCAATTCCTGGTATTGTGACAACACTAAGGTACATGTTTGGCCTATAGGTAGGGTTAATGTCTAACTACAAGTTGGGTGGAGTTATTATCACTATGGTGGTGACAAAACTAGGAAATACTAATAAGTAAGTGATTGTGTACAGCATGTAAAAATCACTGCAAACTGTATCCAAGCCACAGTTTCTAGCTGATGTTGAGGGAGTGATAACAGAACAACAAAGTATGTACTATGCACTTCTGATCTAATAATATCTGCAACTGGTAACCTGTGGCATTCTGACAGGGTAGGCCATGCATGTCTAACCTGGCAACCCTGCTCACCTCCTCTATGGTGTCAAGTTCCTCCACCTCCCTCTTTACAGGGGTGATGGGGACTGTGCAGTAGAAGGACTCCTCTCTACACAGAGCAAGAAGGAAGTAGTGACAAAGAAAAGAAGAGAAAAGCAGATGGTCAAGAACAAAATGCAAGAAAAAGAAAATGGATGAAGCCAGGGCCTAAGGAAGCCAGAGAAATGAGGAACTAGGGAGAAAGAAATAAACATGAGTGATGAAAAAACAGGAAGTCAGCAGACAATATCAAAGCAAATGTTGGAAAAGGTTAACAAATTGTTACAAGAAGAAAAAAATAGGAAAATGGTACATCGAATACCCAAACTGTGAGAGAAAGAATCCCTGTTGACAGAAATGGTGTCCCATCAGTGTACGGCTGATGTGCCTAATATTGTTCTGGGTACATTTGTGCCTGCTTTCCACAGACATTACTGAATGACTAAAAGACACCTAAACTCAATTCCTTTTCCCAAATCCAAAATACCAAAAAGGGATCTTTTGAACTACAGAAAGGGTACTGCTTTGACAAGACAAGCATTTTTTTTAAAGAACACAATACCTGAAATGCAAAAGACCAAAAGAAAAGAGAATAAAGGAAGGAGGGCAGCAGGACAAGAGGAAACGGCAAAGAAAAGAGTTGAAGTGTCGAGGAGTCCGTCTGCAGCAACAAGTATTTTGCCCATACTGATGTATACCTTAGGAAATGGGATTTCTGCTAACAATTATAGCTCGACATTCTTGGCTGCATGGTGTTCAACCCTGAAAACTCTGTCTGCCTCATACGCACTCTGCTGTATTCATGGTGCATCTGTAGAACTTTCTTTGTAGATTTTATGATGTAAAATTGGTTCAACAAACCACAAAAGACCACATCACAATAAAAATAAAATGACATTAAGCAGATTGTTTACTGTAGTTTTGATTATCTGTGATTTGAGAAGTATAGAAAAGGTAATCATGCAACTTCAGAGGATAGTTGTGTGTTACATACTGGTTCATCTGTGGACATGACTACATAATTCTCCTCACACTCCTCGGAGTCAGTGCTGGAAGCCGTACTATGCACTGACGGGGGTCTTGTTGGCATTGGAAACCTAGAGAAACTGAGCAGCATTCACAATGTTTACACACTGACTTCCAGGCAAATGCAGTGTCTAGTGAGCACAAAATATAAAACAGACATAACAGGCACGACCTTAAACCACTGCAGCCTGAAGAGTCCCTGCAGCACTAAGCACAGAAATAGACCTCATCCCAGATAAGCCAACAAACGGCATTCAGTATAATGTAGTGTAGCTCTGAGGCATACCCCAGACTGGTTTGTTTGAGCAGTGCTACTTTGGTAACAAAGTGACTACAGTAATGCATGACATGTTAGTGCCTACTTCTTTAGTTAATTGTATCTACTACATAAGGGAATGTTCACACCAAAGCTCAACTGTGTTTTGTGTTGGAAATATAACGAGCAGGTAGGACAATGCACAACAACATCAGCTGCTTTAGGCACCAGGAGATGATGCACAGCAATTTGTTTTTGTTGTCCCATGTCGTACTCCTTTATAAAGTCACATTTTTCTCAACTTAGAAAAGCACTCCACTCTTGCCGATAAGATGTGAGGCACAGTGTCTGTTTTGAGACCGCCTCCCACACTTTTAACTAAAAAAAACCCCAGGGCTGATAGGAAAGCAGAGAAGTGTGAACACGTCCTTAGTTGTTAGCACAATGTAAAATTATGATGAATGCTGCTCAACATTTTAGATACTTACTCCCGAGCGAATGACCGTGTGACAGGCGAGCGGACAGGTGTACAGGGCTCCTCCCATTCTGGCAGTGGTTTAATCTCCAGTGGAGCGGGTCTTCCTGAAGCAAGGTACACATAGCAGTCAGTCTGTGCTTAAGACACATACCTAATTTACATGTAAGTAAGGCTGACAAAGGTCAACGGCAGGAAAGTTTTATATTATGTGGAGTTAACCTATGTGTTGTTTTGGTTGTTTTAATCGTAACTTTATAAAATGTTTCTAATGCAGATCACTACTGGAACAAATGATACAATGAATGTATATGTAAACCATACAAACATTTTTTCACTGTATTTTCAGCTTTTATTTTGAAAAGAAAATCCTACAAACACAACCTAGAAAATTAGATTTTAAAATGCCATTTGCAGTGCAACTCTGGTTTCATAATGTATTGCCTTACAAATGACAAATGACTCATTTCCACTCCCCCAACATATCCCTTCAATTTCTATCACCCAAAAAATATATCTTCATCACAAGCAAATTTTGTCTTTTGCAAACTGAGATGAGATTTTTGTGAGACCAAGACGTAAAATCTGTGAAATGTAGTTTGAACCATTAAGCTTCCTTTAAAAGGTTGAAAAACAATAAAAACTGAAAACAATGGGCCTGTATGTACAATGCAAAATTGTGTGTAATGCAACAGCTAACATGTTATCACAGCCTAATATGGCATCTCACTATACAGTAGACGTTCACCATAAATTCTCATTACCCATGGCTTCTGTGACTAAAACATTGTAAACTACATACTTTATGAAGTAGGCAGCCACTGCTCTCTTTCATAAGATGATATCTTTGTTCAATTTCCTCCTGAGCAGCTATCTACTACTTTCCAGAGCCATGTGAGTGTTTTTGTGATAATAATTCTGTTTAGGCTGCTACCTGTGAATGTGTGTTTTTGGAAGCACAATATGTTAGAGAAAAACATAAAAAGAAATGTTTGAGAAGAGAAATGTTAGTAAGTTGTTGTCTGCATGTAAGTAGTCACATTAGAGTGAGATATTTAGGTAATGCGATAGGTGGTTTATTTTTAAAAGCATGTTGTGACTGTTCACAAGCTTCAAAATGGTATCGAGTGAAATCCACCATGCATGAAGTGCACACTCATCCCCCTCCTGCTGGGATTTAAAATAATAAGACTGGATTAATGTGACAGCTCTGACACCCATGTTATATTTTTAAACCTATTTGGGTAGCTCTGGAAGTATTAAAAGGTACAGTTTAATTGATTCTGGGTTTGCACACAGTTAATCTTTGATAGCACCAGCAGGCCTGAGAAACAAGAGAAACCCCTCAGTACACTATTGAAAACATGCAAAGAGTCAAGATGAAGTAGAGTTTGGACAGGTCAAAGAATGGAAGGTTTTCAGATACACAATGGCAGTTCAGTGTAGAGTACCTACCCTTGCGTCGTCCCCTCGGGAATTCACCTACGGTTTGAGAGTCGGTTCGCTCTAAACCGACACCTTTTGCTCTTATTATTTTAGGACTCTGACCTGATTGGTGAAAGAAGACTTTGCTTATTATAAAATTTTTGGTGATCACAACAGTTAAGCCCTACTGTAACAACCGCCCTGCCATGCAAAGCAAAAGACGAGACTTTGCTGAACAAATCTACACCCTCATGTACACCCAATCACCTTTTTTGTGCAGCACAGTTATCAAGAGGATGATTGTCATGACAACAGCAGACCCATACTGCCCAACATGCACCTCACTCCATGCACCACGGCTTCCCACACAAAGACTGACATCACAGCTGTGCATGCACGATGAGCTGTGTATAAGCACTGAGAGTACACTGAGAAACCATGTCATGTTGAGAAGAGCACACACAAATCTGCAGAACAGAGTAACTTACTGACGAGGCACATTCGGTAGCTCCTTTTACATTAACACACTGATAACAACATTTTTCTGCAGTGCTGACAAGAGCAAAAACCTAAGTGTGCCGCAATCTCAAAGTAAGATAATTCATTTCAGAGAAATCACATATCAGTGTTAATAAAGTAAAAGCTGGTTGCGGGCCTTGAACACAGATGTCAAAGCCTTCACTACAGACGAGGGAGAGAAGTGCACACAGGATGAACATAGCTGGCAGTGAGTTGAATTAGTCCACAGTACAGAGGAATGTTGCATGGCTCATGGTAAATAAAGAAAGTAATCATATCCAAGGAAAAATCAATAGGAGCATGTTATATTCTGTTCATTTAAAGAATGTATTTGCCCACAGAGTTTAGCAAATCCAAGTAGCTTAAATCCAAGATCCAAGTAACCCAGCACGTTAAGTGTTAAATCTAAGTGGGATTGAGTGTTAAATCTAAACTGTGATAAGAATTCATGTGTGTTTAGCACCTTTCAAATCATCAACTACAAAGTGCTTTACATTAAAACATTAAAATGCATCAACAAGATGCCATTAGAAGAAGAATGCAATTTAGGACAGTGTGCAGATGTTTCAACACTACCCCCCCTCCAAAAAAAGGCTTTACTAGACATGATACATTTGTGTTTTGTTAGCTCTCCTAATAAAACCAAAACAAATACAGTGAAGGCAGTCAAATAAGATGCTGTGAGGAACAGTACAGAACAAATGGAAACTTAGGATTGCTGGACACGAATGAGATAAATGAAGTGATAGATAGCAAGAAAAAATAAGAATGACACAGCTACAACTACAAAAGGGGCAATAGTTTTTTTTGGGATCAAAATATTCTGTAGCCGATAATTACACATTTTTAAAGGCTGATTTTGTTTATGCGAGAGAATTGATCAAACACAATAGTGCTGATGAGCTGCTAGAAATTGATTTGCTACTGGCAGCGATGATTTTGGAGTCGAGACGGAAGGTTTTGAGTAATGTTGTTTTTTTGTTGAGAAATATGAGTAATTCACCAAAACTGGTGGGCCTGTAGTATAGCAGCCGGATGATTTGGAGTAATACAGTATTTTTTTGTAACTGTTAGTCATTACAGTCCAGAGACGGTGCACGCCAAATCTGGAGATGACTGGCTCAAAGGTCACGGGACGAAAAAAGAGCAAAAGTTGTGCATGGGAGGATTCCCCACTGGGAAATGTAGAAGTTAAATAACATGTCCTATTTTCTTCAGCGACAATAACAGCCCTGGCTTTTAGTTTGCCTATGTGATGACTCCCTGTCTTTGTGACATCCTTCAATTCCCTTTCTCTCTTTGCCCATTGCTCAGCCTTTCAATCTGCCCAGATTGTAATTCCCCTTGCTATTAGGTCTTTCATCAAAGAGCTCCATTCAGATGAAGGGAACAAAGGCGATGGAGGTGACCACTCCGGGCTTCGGTCACTCCATGGCACAGGGACCAGCCCCCTCCAAAATGGTCTACAGGGCCTCTTGAGCTCGGGACAAAAGTGCTTTTGACAAGGAGCTTACTGTGTTGGATGTAAGAGGATGTAGCAGGCACTAAACTAATTCATCAAGAGGTGAAATAAGCTAGTCAAGGACAGGCGCAGAGGAAGATGGTCGTATTTAATACACCGGAAAAACCAAGGGCGACAAAATGAGAAAACATTTTTCCACATCAACAACAACAACTGAAGTACGAAGAAGAAAGACACTGCCTTGAGAATGGATGGAAAAGATGGAATTTTGTACAGATGGCTTTATGACCATGAGCCAGCACTGTGAGAATAGAGTGTGAGACAAAGCATGGTCAGTTGTTGCGTTAGTGAATACCGAGCATACTGGAAAATGTTAAGTGCCACAATAAACTTCAGCACACATCGACCCCGCAGCAAGAACTTGACAAAGCTATAGAACATTTATGATCCTAGTCTCAGTTACACATGCATGCACACCCATCGGCCTCTCACCTTTACGATCAGGTTTGAGATTTCGGTCGACCGGTGGGGGCTGGTCCCCGTGCACTGGCCTGCGAGGAGGGGTCTTGGGACTGGAGCGAAAGCCCATGTGGGCGGGTGGGGGGACCTGCTTTCCGAGGGAGGAGAACTCCATGGTGCTTGGGGTCATGGGCACATAGTTCGCTTCGTGCATCGGCTCTGGCAAACTGCCCGAGTGATGGTGTGATGGGGAGTTGGCACTCATGGGTACATAGTTCTGGTCTACCTCCTCTGTGGACTGGCTACCCACTGGCATCATTCCTTTGTTTTTCTGTGGGAGACAAAGCATACATACAGGTTCACAAACAGAGGACAGACCAAGCTTGTATAAGGCTGCCTCTAAACCTTATTTTAAGACAAGAAGCACAAACAGTTAACTGGGTAACTGTAGGCCCAATATGTTTTGGTAAGAGAAATTAGGCGCTTGCTTCCATGTATGATTCTCCGAAAAAAAAGTTAATAAATACACTGCATGCAGCAGGCTTGTTTATGTAGCAGTGTATTCTATTGGCCAGCAATAAAGAAAAACAGAATACCATAATCTATTAAATCATGATGACGTGACATTTGTTAGGGTCTGTATTAAACACACATTTTCCAATTCCAAGATTTGTAGACCAGGGGCTCTCTGCAGCATTACAGTACTTCATTATAATGCTGCTTTGTCACATTTTACCTTTATCATGCAGCTTCTGTGATTTGGATGTCGTACTTGTCTATACTGTGCTTTTGATATTGTTTTATCAGCCAATTTTGCCATGAAAACAGTCTGCCACTATGAAAGTACAGCAATGTTCTACAGAATTTTGAGCTCATACACTGGTGAACGTTGGAAGAAAACTTACGAAGTAGCTGTTGAAGGTCTCATTGAACTCAAATGAGCAGCTTTTGTCAGAAGGGAATGATCTAGGTATGTCGTAGCAGTCCTGGGATCCAAAATCTGCAAAAAAGCAATAAAATTACCAAATATACACATAATTGCTACATGCATACTGAAACTTTATGGGATAGAGTTAGTTAGATATTTAATACTCAGTAATTTCATCAAACGCAGGACAAACTATTAGCCTACACTTCCCATATCAAAACTATATGCCGAATTTCAAGCTCCTTTAAAAAAGGTCCAGCGTGTAACATTTAGGAAACAACATTATGAATCTTTGTGTTTTTGTGGCCGTTTTTATCTACAGACGCCTTACATGGAGTCCGCCATTTGGTCATGACACTGGCATGTTTTGGTACAGCAGGCCAGAAGGACAAACCTTAACTGGCTCAGACAGGGATGTTTTCTGTTTTTCATAGGTTCTCCTTCACGTTTTTAAAGGCAGGGGGAAGCGAGGGAGTTGCTATCTGCAATTACACCGCTAGCGGCCACTAAATCCTACACACTGGACCTTTAAGCTATAGAATAATCTCAATAATACACACAGTAGAGATCTAATTAAAATGCTGTGTTTTCATGACTCTGTAAAGATTATTTTATTCAGTGGGATAAAGCTCAGCAGCTATATGTAAGAGCTCTACTGTGTAGCCCATTATTATTGTTTTTGCAATCTCATTAGCCACTGATGCAGTCACTAATGCATTTCACTTACAGCCACAAGAACCACAGCAGAGCTAGGAGAGGTTTGTAAGGCAAATGAGAGTGTCAGCGGAGGAAGACTAAGTGGGGGAAGACCATAAGCAGGAATATTTACAATGAGAAATGTCATTACATTGAAATATTGTAGCTGCCCTCTAAGAAACAAAAAAAATAATTTGCTTTTTACAGTACAAATAATTCACATAAGCTGGGTTCAATGATTCTTTATAACATATTTTCATTTAGGTTCCCCTCACCTCTGGATACACTCGCCTGTTTATTGGTCATCAATAAACCCTTCAACCCAGTCTCATTTTGGGAGGAATATTCACAACAGCATCGACTTCATTCAACATAAATTCACACACCTCATCTGACGAACCTCAGATGTTCAGTATTTGTGCAATGACTACTAGTCTGAAAGCTTTCACACGTGTGTAGCACGAGTAAGACTAAATATATACCAAGTTTCACCAAAGACTTGAGGCTTTCTTGGGTTTTGTAAAAAATTATCTTGCCACTAATACCTCTGTAATGACATGTGTCACCACAAGAGGGAGGAGTAAGTGGAAGAATATATGTTGTGTCCCACCTTACTCCACAAGTTTCTCTCTTCTTGTCAGAAAGTTGTGTTCTATCTATTTTAAGCCTTTCTACAAAGGGTGCTGTGCATTGATTGGTGTTACAAACGTAAAGTGTTATTATTAGATCTACTTTACTTTCTATTTTTATTCAACTGTTACTATAAAATGCATCTCTTGCCTATTCAGAAGAAGATAATACAGTATTTTGAACATCACATGTGTCTTGTGCTACAGCACCAATGCTCCATAGTTTAGTGACAGCACAGTGAATGTACAACAAAGAAGGCTCTGCTAATAACTAGCCAAAGATATCTTTGGTTTCCGTGATGCAACAGAAGGCTTGTATTTGTCCACAAGTGAGGGCATATGGAGATGATTGTTCATGTAACTTGCTTTCTTTTAAATGTTAGAACTGAGTATTATAACCAATATATATGGTTGGAACTGCTGCTCAGAGTGTCCTTAATCATCAAGACCCTAAAGACATCTGCAGAAAACCGTTTGCTCCGTGTTCACGTCTGATAAGCTTTTGACAGTTTGAATGGATTGTGAACAGAACAGGAGAGTAAAGGTGAAAATAGGGATTGCAGCCAGAAGAAAACATGCCAAAAGTTCTGGTGATGTCTCTTATCATCCATCAAAAGAAAGTGAAAAGGGTACAAAATGCCCACATAAAAACTGTGCAAAAGCCTTATAAGGTAATTTATAATGTCTAGATGATAAAAAATATCATTCCACATAAAGGTCAAAATCTTAAAGAGCACTTTGTGAATGTGTGTCCTATTAAATACTATACTTAAATTTAAATATTTCAAGATCATAAAGAAAATGTTCTAATTTTATTAATTTTAAAAATCTCTAATCACACAACAACAAAAAAGAAAAAAATACGAAACTCTCCCCGACACAAACCTTTGCGGATGCGTGAACAGTCCACAGTGCCAATAGTGTTGCTGCGTAAAGCCTTATTCCCAGCACTAGTAGGCACACAGTAGTTTCCGTCCGTCTCTGACGCTGAGCGGGGCACACAATAGGTGTCCGTAGGGGAGCGCTCAGCAGGGGGTGGCGGGGGTCCTGAGGTGGAACTGAGCGAGGGCTTGGGTGGTCTGGGAGGGGGTACTACATCTCCCCCACCCTCTGAGCCTACTACCCCTGTCGACATTGACAAAGTGCGGGGCACCTGGTAGGTACAGTTTGCGCCAGGTGTCGGTGGGATATCGTAACTGATGGAAAGGTTGCGCATCTGTGTCTCCATTGAGGGCTTCCGTGATGGTGTGTTGAAGACATAGAGCTCAGAGCCGTCCCCGCTGTCCGGATGGGCTGAAGGGGAGGAGGCTGACTTAGGGAGCAGCACAGTGTCCTGGGAGTAGCTGCGAGGGAGGTGGTAAAGGCCGCTGTCAGTTGAGAGCGAGGCACCGCGTGATGGAGGCGAGTCGTAGATGGAAGAGGCGGAGGCAGGGGCCGGGTGCTGTGGGAAGAAGCCGTTGTGTGAGGTGTGTTTAGCCGAGGAGGTGGAGGACGTGGGCGTGCGGTGAGAGGGGAGGTTGTCATTCAGGTCCGTCTCTGAAGAGGTAGACTTGGAACACTCAGCATGGGCTCTAAGACGACAATAAACACGCACATCAGAGAATTAAATATCTACAGTTGATTTAAAGAAGCTAAGGAATCCATTCAGTCAGAGTAAGCCTTCACAGCACTGTCTGCAAGCCATAGTTAGTAACCTGAAATTATACACAAACATCTCTTATCATTCATCTTTGACACCTCTTGACATATTAGCACCTCTTTTGGGGTCAAGTGGAGGACTGAGGTACTTGGGTCATTTCTAAACATGCGGGAAATGACTAAATCAATACGGTGTTAAGTAAAGTACAACTCAGTCTGTGCTGATCTATAACAAATCCAGCAGCAATAATCATCTACAGATGCCATGTTAATTTACAGCAAAGCAATTTTTGATGCGTTTTTGTTTTATATGTCTTTGTTTTGTTGTACATGTGTAGCACTTCACACAAGCAGGCAGTTCCAGCTGAACGGCTGGCCACTCACAGACTAGCCTGGGGTGGAAGAGTCTTGCTCTCACACTCCTCCAGGAGCAAATACTCCTGGTCTCCCTCCAGTGGAGAGTGAAGCTGCACTGAGCTACACACCACACAGCAGAGAGAAGGGCGAGAGTGGCAGTACAAAAAAAAAATAAATGGGCTGGAAAAATGTACAGAGAGAAGCTTATGTCACAGTATAGCACTCCAGCACAGTGAATATAAGTATACATTGACAAAAACAAACTCACCTGTTGGGTTCAGGCTTTTTGCTCTCACAGTTGACCAGCCACAGGTAATCCTGGGGCTCCTCTGAGCTGGACTGAGAGTCCAGGTGTCGCACACTGACCGGCTGGTATGGAGGTGGCACATTGGACAGCACTGCTGCTGGACCAACAATATTACCCAGTGCTGGGTGTGGGGGGGTATCCACCACAAGGCCTCCGATGGCTGACTGGTGAGCAGCTTTTGCTGCCTCTGGAGGAAACAAATAAGAAGGCCAGAGTTAATTCCAGCATGGCTATGTTTATGTGTAATCCCCAAACCACGTGTGCCACAAAGCATTGAAAGGACAAATACAGTACAGGTTACAGCTGACTACAGAAGATGTGGGCCACAGTCACTGAACTGATGATCACCCCCACTAAAAACAGAAGAAATGAAAGCACTTTCATGAAATAAGGTCTCATCCTTCTGGGGGGAAAAGCAGTAGTGTCATTTTATACTGGCTGTATAATGAATGAGTTATTGTTTAGACTGTAATCACGTGACAAGTGATCAAAAACGAGATGTCATCAAGATCTGTCACACTTGGCTTAGCAGATGTCAGTGAATGACTGATCAGGCTTACACACGGTACAGTGGCTCTGTGGTAAATAATCAGGGCAGCAACCACATTGTTGTACATTTGTATTTCACATTTTTGTTAACCTCGTGGCTCCTCAAGAACCCCCAGACATCCAAGGAAGTTGGGCACTTCTCCTGTTGTGGACGTGTAAAGCCTATTGAGACAGTGCAGGTGATGTTGGTGACTGATGATATTAGGCAGAAAATAAACAGCAAGCTGTGTTTGCCAATGTCAACTCTGGCAGAGTAAACTTGGACCCAAGCTGTTTCCTAGCAACCCAATTCCAGTGTAACAGTCTATAGTCACCAGCAGCATTTTGACTGACACTACCTCAACTTCATGTCTCTATAATGTCCACGTCTGAGCAGCTGATGTGTGTAGGCTCGCTCTGATGAACAACTCAAGGACAGATCTCAGATATCTGTTTGGAATAGCTCGCCACACTCTCTTTATTAAACTCAACCCCAAATCAAAGCTGTTAGCCTGCAGCTACGACACACAGTGCCTCTTCTTAACAGATCCAATAAGCCAGAAGAACCTATAGCCTCACTTCCTACTTGGGTGGATCCTGGGGGAGCAAACCTTTTCAAATACAGCAGGCTGTCCGGCTTAACGTGGAGGACAATATATGTCTGTGAAGTGTGACATATGTGTGACAAGATTCCCTAAAAAACACTGCCAATATCAACTTCAAACACACAGAAGACACCATCATGAATTAGTATTTTCATCCTTTTCCATCCTTTTTCATGTCCAACACATACACACATGAAACCTACTTAAAAGCTTAATTTTTTTCTGTCTGAATACGGTGCCTTCAGAATCCCACGCACTCCTTCTCAGACAGCATTTCCTCAAGGTCTCTGCTTTGTCACACTGAGTTTTCAAATGTCAGAGTCCTTTTCAAACCCTTCTGCTGGAGCTGATTGTTGCCAAGATGGCTGATGCGTATGCTTGGTGAAATATATATATATATATGTTTTCATTCCACGTTGTTCTTCGTTTCTCTCATTTTTAACAGTTCTCCTCCCACTCTACAACTCACAAGCTCCCCTCCCCCTTTCTCTTCTTTTAAAAGTATAGAAATGTACTCACTCTTTACAGTGCATTATTTGCTCCACTCTCCTCCTTGGCTATCTTCCCTTTTCTCTATCAGTTTGTTGAAGCTTTAAGTGCTGATTCATACTGGAAAAGGGAAAATCCCCTCTGCTCATCTAGAACTCCTACATTGTCTCTCAGAGTCTTTGTTCCCCCTAATGTTCCCTCCTCTAATAACAGCTATGAAGCACTCTAGCGTGGCCACACATGGCAGAGGAGTGGGAGTTGGGTCTCACATGCAGAGAAGTGTAAGCGTGCGCAAAAGGGAGAGCCAGGGACATTCTTTTGTATTAAGAACTGTGTGGAAGGCTATCTGCAAGGATATTTGTCTCTAGTTTGTCCTTGAATAGGCTTACTGTTTGTTTGCACATCAGGGTTTTAACAGCCAGTTTCAATAATTCTGTTGAAGAGGTGCCATGAATGTTGTTATCAGGGTTCCCTGCAACTCTAGCTTTGTAACAGAGGTGGAGGCAAAGTCACAATACTGTGGAGGGGACGACCTTGGAGCAGCATAATCAGTGACTCAGTTGCCAGGTTTGAAAAGCACATTCTTCTCCTAAAAGAAACTTGGTGGCGTGATATGTCAGACAGTAAATTAGTGAAACTTTTACACCAATTCACCACACATTTAATGGAGGATGGGGACAAACTACCGAAGACCGAGACAGAGGTGCGAATAGCGGAGCTTGAAATTAGGCTCAAAGACGGGGAGAGAAAGAGGGGGAAACAAGAGTGTGCAAAAGAGAGAATGAGAACCAGATAAGAGGGAAAGAACGAAAGAGGGGCAGTGAGAACGACAGGCACACAATGCTTTGATTATCCAGTACTGGGAACAAGAGTAACGCGAGCCTCGACACAACACATGGATCAACACATGGATCATTAGACCTCAGCTGAGAACTATGCTGAATAGAGGCTTTCTGGCACATTCAGCCTGTTCACCTAACTCCTTCAGGGGAAAAAGAGGCACAGATATCTGAGAGGCACAACAGTGGCATCAAAACAGAGACCAGTCAAATGTACAGTAATTAGCAGGTGGGCTAATTATTATTGTGTTGTTTAAGCCTGGCAGTATATTTTGCTTACAGCTGGTGATGAAGTACACCCTGATTTAAAGCTGATAAACAGGAATCCAGCTTTTCCTCTAGTGATGGTAACGTACATAGGGGCTAAATTATTATTATTATTTAAACATTTAAACTCATAACAGTACATGAGGTGGTGATATCAGTGGACGGACTTTGAGGGTGCCTTCATGCCTTTGTTGTGGTTGTGACCTGCAGTCTTTCATGACCAGCCGTTATGACTAATATTCTACAAACAGGACATTAGTCAACAGCAAAATGATGCTGCTGGTCATAATATAGATAAAGTGCTTTTATCAATGCAACCACAGTCTCTAGCCTCAGAGACAAAGATAACAGAATAGATGTTTTCAAGCCTGTTCATCATTGCTGTTTGGCCATACAGATGTCATCTGCCACTTCCACCTCTACTGGTGACCTCACTTCAAGTTTGTTCCATAAAAACTGGCTTTAAAGACATAAGCAATTAAAGAGGATTTTCCTGACTGACTGATAATATATTGATGGGTGGCAGCAGTGATGTGCTATCAAATGCCCATCCTTACCGTCATCAGTGGGGTTAAAACCACAGATGTCGCAGATGCAGCGAACCCACTTATTCATCTCCTCTTCGGTGTCAGCCACCAGGTAGAAGACTCGGTCAATGGTCTTGATGTCGAATATGAAGCTGTGCTCCAAGTCCTTCTTGTTGAACGTCAGCCCAGCGTCCACCTGAAAGGGTAACAAACATATATTAGTTTAATATGGCATCAGTCAAGAAAAAAGACATGACTGAATTACAGCTGGTCAAAGAGAAATGTACAAGAAAGTGACAAGTAGACTGATGATTGACTGATTCGTAAGCGAATCATCATTTTTACTCAACTTAAAAAAAACAAAAAAAAAAAACATTCCCAAGTTCCAGCTGAATTGACTTTACTTAGTTTCTTTGTATTATATGATGAATATATTTGCATCTTGGAAAACTAACTATCTGAAGACTTTGCCTTGGGCTATAGAAAATTGTGATTCTGTGTTTCTTTTATTGACCAAACTAAAATAGATGGATACGATTATTGCATCTTAAACCCTCCAAGATTTTTTTGAGTTAACTCTAGTTTGTGTTCTTTGGCAAAGATGACTGCAATCAAGCTACACCTATAAAAGTTAAATAGTTTTAACAAAAATGCATAAATGTCAATTTTAAATATTAACAGCAAGCCTCAGGGATTAAAAGTTCAACTTTTATTGGTTTTTGAGGAAAAGGGAAAAAGGCTAATATCTGTGTCTTAAATGGCAACATGAGGGGATAAATTGTGACACTGTGTGTGAAACTCTCGTAAGCTCTTATGCAGGTTGATGGTAATTAGGAACCATACCTGCTCACACAAGTTAAGATCAATCACACGGATGGGCTTCTTGGCATGGTCATTCTTGTAGTACTCCAACACGTCTGGGTCGCCTGTCAGACGGCCACTGCGAAGAACAAACCACCGCTTCTTCCATGCCTGCAGGGTGAGCACAGAAATGAGGCCAAAGGTTATATGTGTGTTCTCACAATGACTGCTCCATTCTCAACTGACCACCGGCTGGCCAAATGCTTTATTTTTTCAGTTTAGCCAATGTGTCCTAGCATAGCTTGTGTCTCTGTGTGCAATCTCCACCAGCTGCACTGCCCTCACTGAAGAATACTCAGAGCCAGAGGGAAGAGGCCCGCAACCAGAAATATGCGTCTGGGATAACCAGAACAAAAGCCACATAGTTTGGTCTAGCACCCTGATTGGGGCGAATAACCAAATCTATAAAGAGAAACAGGCAATTAGGTCTTGGGGAGCTGTTGTCTGTGAGAAAAATGCACCACAAAGCAGACAGGAGACTTTAAATTCAAGCATAACACACAGAGAAAACAAAGAGATTGTTAATATAATATGAATATAATACTTATCCTAATTATCTAAACTAACTCTATATTAGTTAATAGATTCAGAATACAGAGCCATTCTACTGGTAGAAAAAACAAACCATACAGCTTCAGAACTTGTTTAAATATCATGCATAGCAGTCATATCATGGGTTGTTGTTTAAAAGACAAAGGTCAGTGAGAGTGAAGAAAGCCTCTTCTGAGCTTCAAAATAAATATGCAAGCAAGAAATGATTTTGGCCCGACACTGACACTGTGCTGTTTTAAGACTGTGTTGTCCACCTCATGGTGTTTGTGGTTTTATTTAGAGAACACATCCAGCAGTGATTCATTTAAATGCAGACTCAATGAGGTCATGAACTCATGATTTTGTTGAGTCATGGCAGTTCAGCTGAATGTTTTGCTTTAGAGCTCAAAATAAGGTCTCCACAAAATACTAGCAAGACTTGTTTGAGCCAATGCTGGATGATATAATAAGAAAAGGGGTTTAGTCAAAAATGATTTACTTCCTTGTATTGCTTAACCTAGCTCAAGTAGGCTATGTATGGACACTTTGTGTGTGTGTGAACAGTGTAGTACGAAAACAAAATCTGATGATCAACTGAGTACCAGAAACTTTCCCAGTGTTATTTGGAATGTGAGTTTGAAACGATAGACAAGACCCGGTAGACAAACACCCACCACTGAGATCAGACAGATCAGGGTGCATACCAACAGAGTGTGAGGTATGCAAACTAAAGCTTTGCTGTTGTTGTTTTGGGGTAAGATTTTGCCGGTATTAATAATGCTGAGGGCTTGAGTTTTTCATCCCTTAGCTGTTTTTCCATCTACAGGGTGTCCTTTGTTAGTGGGCCAAGCCCCGGACAGAGACAGCATGAAGAGCATCAGACCTTTCCCTCCACAAACAGAATGAAGGAACAAAGCCCTTCAATTTTAAGCCGCAGGCACGCGGATGTGTCGCATGGACAAACACACCAAAACATTAAATAACACACAGTTACATAGAAAAAGAAAACAAAATCACATCCCACGCTGACATGTTGCACTCACGCATGCAGCACATGTTTCACACACTGTAGTTCAAAAGGGCTGCATTATATAATCACAAACACACCCACATAGTCCAAATGAGGCTTAAACCTATTAAACCTACCTCCTTTGAGACAGGCCCACTTAAATACCAAATTTAACTATAAAAGCTAAAGTGAATGTGCAAAAAAACACCACTGATGTGCCTGTGTTGTGTTGGTCAGACAAAGACGGTGGGTGTGGAGAGGGAACCTCTTTCTCCGGCACATGACAAAGCAATCTTGGGTCAAGTTACCCTGTGGGGAACAGAAGGACCAAGGACTTAGGTTACAGTGAGGCCAGGCCCGCCCATGGTGAGAGTGTTGACAACTGGGTAAGTTGTACATGCTAAAGAAAGACGCAAGTGAGACCTGTTTAACGAAACTGCTTAACAGACATGCAGTAGAAACGCCTTAAAGTTCGCACAAGAAAACAACAGGTCAATTACAATTAAGAGATAAAAAAGAAACCAAAAAAATAACGTATAGACACCCAGAGATCAGAAAAATGGGCTGCTATAAAGGGCAGCCCCTTTATGGTGGCACAGTAACAAGAAAAATCATGAAAAATACACTGAATCTGGTATATCACAAAAACGTCATTAAGTATATAAATGTATTATAAATAAATGATCAAAATGGAAGAAACTGGCATAGAGAGTACAAATAATTGATAATTAATCAAGGCAATAATCCAAAAAGATAACAGCAAAGATGATGTATCGACAGGTTTTCACTCCTGTGACAGTCAAAATGTATTAATCTAAATAATAAAAAATACAAATTTGAAAAATTTAAACTATGGAAACTCAACATTAAAGACCAAAATCACATTTTAAATCCACAGGTGATAGGACGTTAAGGGTCAGTCACAGTTAAAAGCAGTGGTTTCCAATTCAAAGAGGAGCAGCCCTGAAGAGATTCTGCATCCACTGTGTCTGCACTGCCATATTAGCATGTTTACAGACAGTAGTAGTGCTAGGACAGCAAGCTGTGTGGTAGCTTGAGCATCTCTCCTCCATCTGTGGACTTTCACACAGCTTTCCTCATCCACAATCATACACTCGCTCGCACAATTTTATACCACTGACTTTCAGTACCACCCATTCAGTACCAGACACATGCATAAAAATAAACACGCTACCCAGAGTAAGAAGCAGCACAACACAAGTCTGTCCTCCCCTGGTGAGAGCGGTGCCTTTTACTGACATGCACACACAGATACTTATTAAATTTATATGCACACAAGACGCCAGGAAGGTGGGAGAAATCAGGTTAAAGCAGGAAGTCAGAGAACACATTTACATGCACTGTGATGACCTGTTTACTGTAAAATCCGCATTTACGTGCAGCTGGTCAGTAATCAGATTTCTCCTCTACCTCTACCCATATTTCTGAACCAATGCAGGCAGATTTAAAGTGTATAAGTGATATGCACTACAGCCTGAAGTGATCTTTCTTTTTTTTGTAAGAGCATTTGGACTGGCATTGCAGTGTGATAACAGGCACTTGTAGTGAGACAACAGTTTTTTCCTAATTTGCAAATGAATGTGAATTTAAAAATCCACACTTCTGCTGAGGAAACTGATTCATTTTAGTACTTCCTTCACTTGTGGTTGGACTTTGGACTTTTGGATACAAGAATGTACTTTTTTATCAATCATCTTGTCTTTCATTCCTCTGTATTGCTGCCACAGAAATATATTACTATGAAAAAATCTATCATACATGTGCACTTGTTAGAAATCTGCTTATGTGGCCAAAAAAAAAGAAAAAAAATCATGTTTCTCAAGCAGAAATGTAACTGTCTTAACAGAGTTTCTCTCTAGACTAGGTTAAGGAAACTAGGTTACTCATTTACATGGCCTTACAAGACTCATCACTGACAATGAATGAACACACTGAATATCAACATGACAGAACCGAAACCACACCAGAGGACTTGAACCCAATGCCACAAACGCATACTGGAACTGTATGACCAGAAAATTGTAATGAGTAGTTGTCCAGCGTTACATACCTCCTGTCAAGGCTCAAGAAGAACATGATGAGGCATCTAGTCCTTTTTGCTTTGTGTATTCCATTGTAGCCACAGTTGTGTCGAAGTAATGGTTCAAGTCCCGACAGCTTTGCAGCACTTAATGGCTGCAGGGTATACATCCGTTCTCATCTTCCTCAGTAGACCAACAAGAGATTCTGAACCATTCAGCTCACTCAACAATCACAGAGCCCACTTGTAGGAGTCTAGTGTTCACAGCCCCAGGGTTGGGAATGGGACGGCATGGGACGATACTGGACTGGGACGGGGAGGGCTCCCCTAGCATGGCAGCTGTCCATGCTAGCTCCCTCTCTATCCCCCCCCACCCCCTTTTTTTTTTGTTTTAGTGTTTTCTGATAGGGTGAGACACAGGAAGACACCCTCTATTCGCCCACCCAGGTCCTACAGCCTACGGGGGCCAGACAGAGAGGGCATTGAGGGTCTGACTAAGACGATGACAGGGGAAGGGAGGGTGGGAGTGTTGGGCACAGATGCCAACTAAGTGGAGTCACGCTGCCGTCAGAGGCCTCCTGACCCCAACATCTCTGAAGCGTGACATAGGCAAAGGTGGGGGAGAGACGGAGGTAGAGTGCGTAACGAGGGAGAAAATAATGTCTACTGTGGTTTCAGAGAGACAGAGAGAGGAGACGATGGAGAAGAGAGCTTATCTGCATTATTAAGCACCACCCTCTGCATCTACAGGACGTGGACACAACATTATGAACCACAGTGAAAGTTAATGCAATCCAATACAAATGTCCTCGAGGACAGTGGTTTTGTTAGACTTGTTATCACCAAAGCTGCTGGCGCTTCGGCCCCAGATTTTTAACAAAACGAAAACAAAATACAGCAGTATTACTCACTTCAGAGGAGGACTCTGTTCAAGAAGAAGAGGAGGGGAATGACTGTGTGGCCGGGTGATGTTTATGGTACTAAGAAATAGTGGCAGGGTTAGACCTCTTACTTTTCCTGTGCTGAAGAGCAGCTCATCAAATCCAGCGCCTTGTTCAACATTTCATCGTTTTATTCTTATTGCCGGTAATAAAGACTGAAATGAGTCATATCATCACCATATCAGGCATTGGGAACGACCTGCTTGGTACCATGCAATGTTAAAATCCATACTAGGAGAAGAAGAGAAATAGATGAGACAATATGGCACTACTGTGTGTTTATTAAAGACATGGCAAGACTCCCAAATGCAGTGAGATGCGGAACAAACACACAGTGGAAATGAGCTATGTTTTAGCCTGCCGCTGCTAAAAATAAAAATGTGTGGCCAAATCAGTCTCCTGTTACAAGAGTTTCATCTAATGTATTAGTATAAATATGTGAAACTAGTTGCTGGTGAACCTTCCTGCCAACACTGTTCAAGCTCCACCAACTCCAGCTTTACTGCACTTAAAAGGCTAATCGTGCTTCATGGTTTAGATAGCTTAATGCAGCCTAAAAAGCCTTTAAGTGCACTAATTGCTAATGCGA